AGAGACCAGGTTTATACAGAAGAGGAGAGTCCATGGGCCACGGAGGTATAAAACTTGGCCAAGAGCCTTTCTAGCGAAGGCACTTTGGTGAGACCCAGCAGGGTGGTATCTGAGCACTTCATGGGCTTTCATGTATTTACCCTTACAACACCCATGTGAGACAGGGAAGGGCTAGTGTCTTAATTTTTACAGACAGGGAACTGAGGCTAAGTGACTTGCCCAAGATCCTATGGGAAATCTGTGGCAAAGCAGGGATCCGTATGGAGATTTCCTAAGCTAGCGCCCTACCCATTGGACTGCACTTCCTCTTATGGCCCATACAGCTTAAATAATGGCTGATGCCTTGAAGGGACAGGCTTGATTCCTTGAAATAATGGCTGATATTCCTTGAAGCCACTCTGACGGGGCTGTCCCGCCCCATTCCCTCAGAGAGGGAGTTTCCAACGGTGCCTTTGAAAAAACCTCCCCCAGGAGACCAGGGAGACGCAGAGCAAAGCCGCAGCGAGAAAGTACGCTCCGCGTCTCCCTGGTCCACTGGGGGTTCCCCCCAGCGGACCAGGGAGACGCGGAGTGCTTCCAGGTGCTGCCGTGCATGCTCCAGTGGCCATGTGGCAGGTTTAAAACCCGAGCTGGTGTGCTTGGGGGAGGGGGAGGAGAAAGTCGACGCAGAGGCAGCGGAATTCATCGACGCTGTTGGGAGCCAGAGAGGGCTGACGGCTGTGGGGGACGCGGTGGAAGGAGAGCCCAGTCCGGATTGGCGAGGGCTGGTGGTAGCCCCCGGACAGCCCTGGTGGATATGGCCAGCGACTAGGCTGCCCTCTGTGGAGACATTTTGCTGTTCCCCAGCAGAGCCCCTGCCAAGGAGTGGACAGACTGAAGGGCTGGTAGGCACTGAAAGGGGGATGGCCGCCTGGTGAAGTGCTCCATCGGAGAATCGGGGGAAGCCAGCCTGCCTGTTGGTCCTGGAGGACCCCTTGCGAACGACGCTGACGGTGGTTTGTCGACTTTCGGAGTTAACCCCAACGCGGTAGTGTCAACGCCTGATGGGTCTCGGCCCCAACGGGAAAGAAGACAACGTGGGCCGGTAAGACCAGTTGTTGGCACTCCGGGTAGAGTGCACTGCAGAAGCATTTAGTCGGGGTAGGAAGAGGCCCAGAGCCAGGAGTGAACATAACCCTGAGACTGTTGGTGAGTTGCGGTTCTGTCCCCACCGGCCGGGTAAGGGACAATCCCCTGCCGTTTGGGCCCTGTGTCGGGACCCAGTGGAGAGGGAGGGCCTGGGTCCCCCTACAGCACCCCGTAAGGGGCTGTAGCCGGGACCGGATTAGCCTAGCTGCAAGACCCGAGACTGTGAAACCTTCCAGAGATAATACAGCTTCGAGCAGACTACAGGCCAAAGAGCCAACCCCAAAAGGGGCCTAAAGACTAGAGACCCGTGGGTACAGGGACAGTCTGAGTCACCCTGTGGGTTGTGACCCGCCTTGATGAGGGCCTCTGGCCCAGTCGTCTGTGCAGGTTGCTACCGCCTGTGAGGTGGGGCTAGAGTAAGCATGGGACGGGGTGCTCCCTGCAGCTGCGAGGCGGATTCACCGTCCCACAAACCCTTGGGCTTTCCTGGGCCATTGACACACTCAAAAGTAGGCAGAGGCCCTCGACACGTTGATTATAAATGGGCCACTGAAGAGCCAGGAGGCCATGACTGAAGGCACAAAGATTCCCAAGGAAACAGGAGCGAAGAGTCGCTGCGTCTGGAGGCTGCTGCTTTGCGTCAGCTGGAACAAACAGACATGTTTGAAAATCCCTAAGTCCCAAGCAAAACACTCTCTCCCTCCCCCATGTATGGAGTGAGTTCTGTCTGGGCCCACAGGTGATGTAAGTGAAGTCTCTGCACAGTGAAACCAGGGAAACCAGGCCAATTTGCCTTGTTTGCTCTCTGCCACGTTCCTCTGGGATCACTCTGAGGTAAATGCTCGAACGGGAGCCCTTAAGCAGGCGTCTGTTGGTTTCTGCAGTAGCGTTAGCTCTTTTGTTTCTCCCAGCAACCCAGACCAGGCTGGGGCTCGGATGGGACCTTAGTCTCCAGCTACTCTGAGCATCAACAGTCAACGCCAACCCAGAACTGAACCACAAAGAAGGGAGTTTCGGGAGACTTCCCCCTTGCCGGGCCAAACTGGTAAGAGTGGCATGAGCATCTCAGGCACCTGTCACTCCCTGGGGTCCAGACTATGCTGCTTCCTATTTATTTGTTCACATAATTTATATGGGGTGCAGGGGCAATGGCACTGAGGTTCGATCTGGGGCTGCTTTGCCACATCAGTGCTGTGTTATGTGGCCAGCGTGCCTCCATGGCTCGAGGAGAAGCTAAGTGCTGTCTCTCACTACCACTGCACCTGGGTGTGCGTTCCCAGGACAGGCATGTCTGCAAACAAGCCAAATGTGAGTGCCACAAAACCATCTGACCGCCTCCTGGGAGACCTGCACAGTAACTGTCCAGGGCAGTTCCGAGAGTTCATCTTCTAGCCAAAAATGTTATTGATTTAGCACCGAGCAACTGATTGGCAATAATTAACGAGCAGATGCTCAGCTGCGGGTCATTGCCCCAGAACCTTTCCCAAGGACAATCTTACTCCTGTAACACTTTATATATGAGCTTCCGTGGGCAAACCCCACTTCCGCAGATGATCAGAGTGCATAGAAAAAGGGGGGACCCTCATAATTTATAACAGAAAATGAAGGGGGGGGCGTTCCTTTTAATTGTAGTGCTGGTGCTAATGAAGTTAATTGAGTGGGCTGGAACTGTCTCATACTTAGCTTTTGATGTCATCTGGGTGTTGACTGTACAGGAAGCAGGTTTTATAATGGCTCATCTAGCTCAGGTCTTTTAAAGTGACATAAGAACATAAGAGCAGCCAGACTGAGCAAGACCAAATGTCCATCTAGCCCAGTGTCCTGTCTGCCGACAGTGGCCAATGCCAGGTGCCCCGGAGTGAATACAATGAGGAACCATCAAGTGATCCCCCATTCCCAGCCTGTGACAAACAGAGGCGAGGGACATCATTCCTACCCATCCTGGCTAATAGCCACTGATGGACCTAACCTTCATGAATGTATCTAGCTCTTTTTTGAACCCTGGTAAAGTCCTAGTCTTCACAAGTCTCAGTTCATCCACAAATGCAATTCATATGCTAACGGACTTAATCATGATATGAGCTGGTGGGGACTCTACCTACTCAATAACCACTGAAGGTGCTTACAGCTCTCTGAATGGTATCCTTCCTGTTTTAGGAATCTATTGATAGACTTTGATTTTTATCTGCTATCTAAGTACGCATTTTCCAGATACTTAATGATGCTCTGTCTCCCACTCGCCTCCCTTTTTCTTTCTCTTCTCTTCTCCTCTCCTATTTATTTCAAGTTTTCATAGTTCCAACTCATAACTCCGGTCATCTGAAGAAGTGGGCAGTGCCCCCGAAAGCTCATGATCCCATCTACATGTTTCATTAGTCTATAAAGTGCTTCCAGACCATTTGTTGTTTTTTTCCCTTAACCAGTTATTTAATCTTCCTTGCTGTTGCACATTAGGTTCTTGGGCATTGTTCCTATCTTTTTTTTCTCATCTTGATCCCTTATCTTCGTTCCACTAATTTTTTGACTAGTCTGTCTTCAGCCACCACCAGTTTTAAACTCTGCTGTCAGAAACGCACCACATAAAGAATTTCAGTAATGTTTGGAAATGGTAGATCCCAGAGCTTCGTGAAAGGTAAATACTATTGCAAGCCAGAAGGCTCCCAGTTTAATGTTTAAGATCTTTGTTTTCTCTGTGCTGTTTCTGTAGATTGGAGGGGCAGGCTTATACAGACCTGCCTGCCAACTGGCTGTGACACTTCTTGAGAGGAACCAGTTATCTGCTTTGCAAATGACGATGATGCTTTTGCTGACTCCTGCCACTGCGTAAGGACTTCCAGGGGGTGGGACAGGGTCTCTCTTGTAAACGCTACAGAATCCATTGCAAAGATCAGACTTTTTTTTCTGCCCCAGCGCAGAATAGAATGGCTGGCGACAACCACACGGCAGTGTCAGAATTCATCCTCCTGGCATTCGCTGACTCGCCAGCGCTGCTGGTTCCCATCTTTACACTCTTCCTCGCGATCTACAGTGTCACCATGTTGGGGAATCTCGGGATGATCACGTTAATCAGCCTTGACCCGCAGCTCCACACCCCCATGTACTTTTTCCTCAGCAACTTGGCTTTTGTGGATTTCTGCTGCTCCTCTATGATCGCTCCCAAAGCTATGGAGACCTTCCTTGTGGAGAGCAAAGCCATTTCTTTTGCTGGATGCCTAGTGCAGTTTTATGTCTTTATAGCTGTGGTTTCTGCTGAATGCCTACTCTTGGCGATAATGGCCTATGACCGTTATGTGGCCATTTGCAATCCCTTGCTCTACACAACTGTCATGTCCCGAGGACTTTGTCTCAGGATGGCTGCCGGGGCATATACCCTGTGCTTACTGAACTCCACGATGCACATCACCTTCATAAGTCGTTTATCTTTCTGCCACTCCAACGTCATCAATCACTTTTTCTGTGATATCCCCTCGCTCTTCAAGCTCTCCTGCTCTGACACCCTCCTCAATGAAATGCTCATTTTCATTACCGCCGGAGGAAAAGCACTGAGTTCCATCCTGATCATTCTCGCTTCCTACACGTACATCCTCTCTGCCATCCTGAGGATCCCCTCCAGCCAGGGCAGATACAAAGCCTTCTCCACCTGCACCTCCCACCTGACCGCTGTCAGCATCTTCTACGTGACTGGCCTATTTATCAATTTACAGCCCCGTTCCAACTTCACACCCACTCAGAGCCAAGTGATTTCTGTGTTTTACACTCTCGTCATCCCCATGCTGAATCCTTTGATCTATAGCTTGAGGAACAAGGAAGTGAAAGCTGCTCTCAGACGAGTGATGAGCAGAAAAACCTTTTCTCCTTTATTCTGTTAGTTTGGTGTTAGATTCAAATAGCTAATTCCACAGCCTTGGCTGAGAGCAGGAGGTATCTCTTTAACCAGTGAAATAGCACCTGAGATCATTTATTAATTTTTCAGCAAATCAAGAACGTAATTTTTAAACCTGTTTCAGAATGTTTTGCTCCACAGGACACAAAACTTTTCTTTTCAGATTTTGAGGGTGTTTTTTTTTTTAAAGATTTTTTTATTCAAAAACAATATTGCAGGAAATAGCATTTTGATTTAACAATGAAAATATCTCCTATAAAAATGTGAGAGCAAAGCATTTGCCGCTTTTCGCCCCCAATAAAACAATTCAGCAAATCAAACACGAATTTGCCAAATATTTTGGTCAACACAAACCTGTATTGTTGATTGGAGAAAATGTTTTAGTCTAAAGAAATCCATTGAGGTTAGGTCCATCAATGGCTATTAGCCAGGATGGGTAGGAAAGATGTGTCTAGACTCTGTTTGTTAGATGCTGGGGATGGGTGACAGGGGAAGGATCACTTGATGGTTCCCTGTTCTACTCACTCCCTCTGGAACATCTGGCATTGGCCAGTGTCGGCAGACAGGACACTGGGCTAGATGGACCTTTGGTCTGACCCAGTCTGGCCGCTCTTATGTTCGTCAGGGGTGGGGAACTTTTTTTGGGCCCAGGGCCACTGACCCACAGAAAAATCAGCTGGAGGTCGCACAAAAGTGAGGAGTAAAAAATAAAAAAAATGATGTGGCCCCTGAGTGAGAAGAAGAGACACTCACTACATTCCCCTTGCATACCAGAGCCTGGAGGGGGGCAGGCTAGTATATTTTGTGGGCACCCTTAGACTCTGGGGTGGGACCAAAAATGAGGGGTTCAGAGTGTGGGAAGGCCTGCTGGGAAGTGGGCTTGGAGTGTGGTGTCTGAGTGGGAGGGAGAGTACAGATGTGGTCGGGGGCTGATGGGTCTGGGTGGGAGCGGGTGCAGGAGCAGGGTAGGGAGTCTGGGTTGGAGAGGGTGCAGGTCTGGGTGGGAGAGGGTGAGGAGCAGGGTAGGAGGGCCTGGGTGGGAGGTAGGATGCCGGAGCAAAGTGGGGGATAGGCGGAGCCACTTCCTCCCCCTCCGAGACAGAGTCCATGGGTCAGATCCAGTCCCAGTTTGCCTGACTCCAGCTCCCCAGGCTCCGGATCTCCCCTGCAGCAGGGAGCCAGTGCTGGAGCTCCAGCCTGTAGGGGGAAGAGGGGGGCAGAAGACCGGCTCCCTGATGCAGGCATGGGAGCCCCAAGACTTGGTGGGGGGGAGGCAGATCCAGGCCAGAGATTCCCCACCTCAATCTTAAATTCTTCCCATTTCCCATAATAGCGTGTCTTTGTGCAAGGTGCTCACGCAGAAGTGGGGGAGATGCTTTCAACGTGCCGTCCAAAATAGGACACAGCTCTGCTCATTTGGGGGGGGGGGAAGCTGGTGTGTTCTTTTGTGCACCCCCAATCTCTCCCCCTCCATATCAGACTCACCTCTTCTCTTGCCACACCAGGGGTCTATGGTTTCCCACTTTCCCCCATATACCAATGGTTCCTGGTGCCCCTCTGTGAATTTTATATAATATTTTGTTGAATGACGCGAGTGTCTCTATAAATGGGATTTAAGTGGTGGGCAAAGGCTGTTATTCTTTGCACAAATCGTGTTTGTCTGGAGCCCCAGGACAATGGCCTGACAGCTGATCACCTAGCAACTGAGGAACCTGGCTCGCTGCAGGAAACTAGCCAGTTTGACCAACTGGGGAAGAAAGAGTGACCCTAGAGGAGACTCCGTGCCGGGGAAGAGGAACAAGGGATGGGAGAGAAAGCCGCAGGGTGGTGCGTACGTATGTGCTGCTGGAAGTCGAGACTCAGAGATGGTTTGGGGCTTCCTGTGCTCAGGGACTTTGCTGTAACTGTCCTGTTTTGTGTCTTGACTGCTGGTTTTCTATGCTGTGTTCTGATCATCTCATAAACCCTTCTAGTTTACAATGCTGGCTGAGTCACTGCTGTCCGGGGTGCACTAGCTGTATAAATCTTCCTCAGGTATCCAGTTCAGGAGGACCCACTGAGAGGGCTCATGGTGTAAACCAGAGGTCTTGAAGGCTCCAAAGATCGGTCCCAGGACTACTCAGGAACTCTGTGACACCCCATTCCACCATCTCTCACACACCATGGGCTCTGTTCCCCCATGCAAGGTTCCCGTCTTCCCACCTCAGATCAAGGGTTCTCTATGCTCTCCTCCCCAGTTCCTCCCCAACCACCAGTGTTATTTCTTTTCTTTCAGTTTAGCAGATAAACATTGACATTTTAAGCCTTTATGGTGAGTAACAGCAGCATTAAGAAGCGGCCATATTGTGAGAAGGGAAGCTGTCATGGGCTGCCCTCGACAAATTCTTTGATCTCCAAGCAATTACAAACTTCCCTGCAGCTAATGAGTCTACGCAGCAGACAAAAGCAATTCTACGTGCTCCCCGCTGCCACCACTCACTCAGTCTTTGGGTTTTCTCCTTTTCACCCAAGAGGGTTCTATCTATTGACACCTCGATGTTTTGGAGTTGGACGTGGGTTTTTTCCAATAGCTATTGCATTGCACGCAGACAGACAAATGGAGACAGGCTACCAGGTTGAGGGGAAGGCCTTGATTTGCTTGGCCCATTAGCAGAAGCCGGAAATTGTTGACTGTGAAGATGTTAATATCTAGACACTTTAACAAGTACAAGTGTAAAATATAAGGCACTAGGAACAAAGGCTCTGTTCAAAGCTCTGCCATTCACCTATGGGGTGATATTGGATAGGTCAGTCAGCCTCTCTCCCTACCCACTGTCTGACTTATTTAGGCTGTAAGCTGGGCTGTTCCTTACTATTTATTTGTACAACACCTAACAGAATGGGGAGGTGCCTGGCAATATGTTGTACACAATAGAACCAATACACAGACACCTCTCAGGGATAATCTAGATGGTGCTTGGTCCTGCCACGAGGGCAGGAGGCTGGACTTGATGACCTCTCGAGGTCCCTTCTAGTTCTAGTGTTCTATGATTCTATGGGGCGGAACTGAGACTGTGCAAACTTAACTGGCATTGCTTGAGGGCTTGATTATGTGGCCTTGATTTAATTTTTTAAAGATATTAATAAATCCTCCTGAGTACAATGGGGATAATGAGTTTGGGATGATGGATTCCCATGAGGTCTCTCAAGAAAATATGAAACATCTATGGAAAGGTCCCCCTATCGCACATCCTGGACATCTAAGCTAAGAAAAAACAGATGTGTGTCCTTCTAGGAAACTCAATCTCTCCATATAAATAGACAAAACAATCATGATTATCTGTCTTCCCAGCTGGAGGCTTTTCTTATCAATCCCCAAAAGTCAGAGGCATTTGGCAGAATTCTGCAAGGTCTCAGTTCCACACTTTGGAGCACAAGCCACCCAGCAAGAAACAAAAATATCAATTTGCCAACAGTCCGTGACAAACCCAGGGTAAGTAGTTCAATATTGCAGGGTGGTTTTGATCTCTAGGCACTTGGGGTGGCTAGATTCCTTTGCATAATTTCATTAAATTGCTGTTTCTCTTGCATTGTGGATGTTTTCCCCTTTCATCAGCCCGTCTACTGCCTTCGATGGCCTGTTCTTCAAATTCTGCAGTGACGGTTGTCTATTGCTCTGCTCAGTTGTTGAGAGGTTTCAGAACAATGTAACAATGTCAGTAATTTCCCCCTCCCCAACTTCCAATCATCCCTCTTAGTCCTATTTTCTTCTGAGACTGGAAGGAATGCCCCTTTTGTTTAAGTTAAGTAATTCCACGGCAGGCCCGTTGATGCGAGCTTCTCCTTAGTCTTGTCTTTTCTAGTATATATAGATTCACAATTCCTGCTTTCCCCTTACGTCTCCTCCCTCAGATCTTATGCCACTTCTCTAGCTTTAATGTAGTTTCTTTAGAGTGCAGCAAGGTCTTTTGGGTCACGCTTTATAGTAAGCTTATAACTGTAAACCGCTCATTAAAGGGCAATAAACCTTATAAATATGCTGCAGACATGAACAGGTGGTATATAGTTGGTTAATATACATCAGCTGATATTATACATGGATATAGGCCATAGTAATAAGTGACTTATTTACCTGCTAGACTGCATACAGGCTGTGTCTAGACTGGCAAGTTTTTCCGCAAAATCATCTGCTTTTGCAGAAAAACTTGCCAGCTGTCTACACTGGCCGCTTGAATTTCCGCAAGAACACTGACGATCTCATGTAAGATTGTCAGTGTTTTTGCGGAAATATTGTGCTGCTCCTGTTCGGGCAAAAGCCCTCTTGAGCAAAGCTTTTGCGCAAGAGGGCCAGTGTAGACAGCACAGTACTGTTTTGCACAAAAAAGCCCCGATGGCTAAAATGGCGATTGGGGCTTTTTTGCGCAAAGTGCGTCTAGATTGTTACGGACGCTTTTCCGCAAAAAGTGCTTTTGCGGAAAAGCGTCTGTGCCAATCTAGATGCTCTTTTCCTAAAATGCTTTTAACAGAAACTTTTCCGTTAAAAGCATTTTCGGAAAATCATGCCAGTGTAGACGTAGCCACAATGTATAACTATCAACTACTCAATAATACAATTTATTGATGATCTCTTTACTCTTTACAGCACGTTTATAAATGAAGACTAAATAAAGTGGGTAAAAAATTCAAATGACAAACCTTAGTCCCATTTTCAACTGATGTGGCTACTTAGGGGTATTTTTAAATGCATTTAGGCACCTAAAGCTGCAGTAATGTGCAGAATGGGATTTTCAAAGGTGCTATAGGCACCTTATCCCCATTGATTAAGTGTCAAGGTGCTTTCAAAAATTCGGCTGTGCAAGTATCTGCATCTTAAGAGCCTAAACCCCTTTAGAAATTTGGCCCTAAGGAAGCCTAGTCCCATTGAACTCCAATGAGATTTACCTGCCAACATCTTAAGTCATTTTTTGAAAATGAAATTTAGGCTCCTGAGGCACTTAGCTGCACTTGAATATTTGACCGGAGATGGGAGATTAAGAAAGATTCAAAATATGAATTTGAAACCAGCTAACATTAGTCAAAAGGAGTAAACAAAAATCCAGTCATGCCCTTGGACAGATCTAAGGGGGAGAGATGCAAATGACAACATTTGATTGTTAAAAGGGATCAGGTAAGGTCTCTTTTTTTTATTAGATGACATCTTCCACTCTTCTCTGGTTTTCTTGATACAGGAAAGGAAATGTAGAATCAAAGGAAGTAAAAATTTTAAATGAACCAAACTGTTCCATAGAATCTCTCTGGGTAGTAATTCCATGCTCTAATAATAAGAACACAGCAGTAGGAATATATTACTGACCATCTGACCAGGATAGTGATAGTGACTGCAAAATGCTAAGGGAGATCAGAGATACTATAAAAATAAAAATACTCAATAACAGTGCGGAATTTCAACTATCCCCATATTGACTGGGTACATGTCACCTTAGGATAGGAAGCAGAGATAAAGTTTCTTGACACCTTAAATGACTGCTTCTTGGAGTAGCTGGTTCTGTAACCCATAAGAGGTGAGGGAATTCTTGATTTAGTCCTAAATGGAGTGCAGGATCTGGTCCAAGAGGTAAATATAAAACTGGGCCACTTGGAAATAGTGACCATAATGTAATAAAATTGAACATCCCTGGGAAAAACCTTAGCAGCCCAACACTGTGGCATTTAATTTCAGAATGGGGAACTACACAAAAATGAGGAGTTTAGTTGAACAGAAATGAAAAGGTACAGTGCCAAAAGTATAATCGCTGCAAGCTGCATGGAAACTTTTCAAAGACACCATAATAGAGGCCCAACTTAAATGTATCCCGAAATTTAAAAACACGGAGAACCAAAAAAGTGCCACCGTGGCTTAACAACCAGGTAAAAAAGCAGTGAGAGATAAAAAGGCATCATTTAAAAAGTGGAAGTTAAATCCTAGAGAAGAAAATAGAAAGGAGCATAAACTCTGTCAAATTAAGTGTAAAAATATAATACAAAAAGCCAAAACGGAGTTTGAAGAACAACTAGCCAAAAACTCAAAAAGTAGTGGCAAAATGTTTTTTAAGTACATCAGAAGCAGGAAGCCTACTAAACATCTAGTGGGGCCCCTGGACAATCAAGATGTTTAAGGAGCACTCAAAAGACGATAAGGTCATTGCAGAGAAACTAAATGAATTCTTTGCGATGGTCTTCATGGCTGAGGATGTTAGTGAGATTCCCAAACCTGAGCCATTCTTTTTAGGTGACAAATCTGAGGAATTGTCCCAGATTGAGGTGCAATTAGAGGAGGTTTTGGAACAAATTGATGAACTTAACAGTAGCAAGACATTGGGACCAGATGGCATTCACCCAAGTGTTCTGAAAGAACTGAACTGCGAAATTGCAGAACTATTAACTGTGGTTTGTAGCCTGTCCTTTAAATCATTTTCTGTACCTAATGACTGGAAGATAGCTAATGTGATGCCAATATTTAGAAAGGGATTTAGAGATGATTCTGGCAACTACAGACCCGTAAGTCTAACACCAGTACCAGGCAAATTAGCTGAAGCTATAGTAAATAATAGAATTGTCAGACATGTAGATAAACATAATTTGTTAGGGAAAAGTCAACATGGTTTCTGTAAAGGGAAATCATGCCTTACTAATCTATAGGAATTCTTTTAGGGGGTCAACAAGCATGTGGAGAAGGGGGATCCAGTGGATATAGTATACTTAGATTTCCAGAAAGCCTTTGACAAGGTCCCTTACCAAAGGCTCTTAAGTAAAGTAAGTTGTCATGGGATAAGAAGGAAGGTCCTTTCATAGAATGATAACTGGTTAAAAGACAGGAAACAAAGGGTAGGAATAAAGGATCCGTTTTCAGAATGGAGAGAGGTAACTAATGGTGTCCCCCAAGCGTCCGTACTGGTACCAATCCTATTCAACATATTTTAAATGATCTGGAGAAAGGGGTAAATAGTGAAGTGGCAAAATTTGCTCATGATACTAAATGGCTCAGGATAGTTAAGAACAAAGCAGACTGAAGGGTTTCAAAAGGATCTTCCAAAACTAGATGATTGGACTATAAAATGGCAAATGAATTTTAATCCTGATGAATGCAAAACAATGCATATGGAAAAAATAATCCCAACTATACTTATAAAATGATGGGGACTGATTTAGCTATAACCACTCAAGAGAGAGATCTTGGAGTCATTATGGATAGTTCTCTGAAAACATCCACTCTGTGAGGTGACAGTCAAAAAAGCAAACAGAATGTTTGGAATAATTTAAAAAAGGGATAGAGAATAAGAAAGAGAATATCTTATCGCCTCTATATAAATTCATGGTATGCTCATTTCTTGAATACTGAGTACAGATGTGGTCATCTCATCTCAAAAAAGATGTATTGGCATTGGAAAAGGTTCAGAAAAGAGCAACAAAATTATTAGGGGTTTGGAACAGGTGCCCTATTAAGAGAAATTAAAAAGACTTGGACTTTTCATCTTAGAAAAGAGGAGACTAAGGGGGATATAATAGAGGTCTACAAAATCATGACTGGTATGGAAAAAGTGAATAAGGACAAGTTATTTACTTGTTCCCACAGCATAAGAACTAGGGGCCATCAAATGAAATTAGTAGGTAGCAAACAAAAGGAAGTTTTTCTTCAAGCTGCGCACAGTCAACCTGTGGAACTTCTTTCCAGAGGATGTTGTGAAGACCAGGACTTTAGCAGGATTCAAAAAAGAACTAGATACATTCATGGAGGTTAGGCCAATCAATACATATTAGCCAGGATGGGTAGGAATGGTGTCCCTCGCCTCTGTTTGTCAGAGGCTGGAAATGGATTACAGGGGAGGGATCATTTGATGATTCTGTTCTGTTCACTCCTTCTGGGACATCTGGTGGCCACTGGGCTAGATAGACCTTTGGTCTGACCCAGTATGGCAGTTCTTATGTTCTTCTTTCATGTTGTTGGTTTGTCCCCAACAGGGAAAGCTCAGGCTAAGAATGGCTGGGGAAAATTATTCTGCAGTGACAGAGTTCTTCCTCCTGGCTCTCACAGACAAGCCCAAGCTGCAGGTCACCCTCTTTGTGGTGTTTCTATCCATCTATGTGGCAGCTCTGCTGGGGAATCTGGGGATGATCATCTTGATCAGAATTGATCCCCGACTCAACTCCCCCATGTACTTCTTCCTCAGCAATTTGTCCTTCATAGATATTTGCAGCACCTCGACCATCACCCCCAAGATGCTGGTGACCTTATGCAATCAAAATACCATTTCTCTTCCTGGCTGCATAGCACAGCAGTTCTTCTATTCGGGGGTCATCACCCTGGAAGCCATCACGCTGGCAGTGATGGCGTATGACCGCTATGTAGCCGTATGCAACCCTCTGCACTATAACACAGCCATGTCTCCCGCCATTTGCTTTCAGCTCGTCACCTGTTCCTACGCGGCCAGCTTCACCACTGCCATCGTCCAAGTCAGCTGTACCTTCAGTTTAGTCTTCTGCAGCTCCCACAGGATCCAGCATTTCTTCTGCGACATCCACCCGCTGCTGAAACTCTCCTGCTCTGACACCCGCATCAACGAGATGGTGCTCTTCACTTTCAGCTTTGTCATTGGCTTGCCCACTTCCCTGCAAATCCTCGTATCCTACTCATACATCCTCATGGCCATCTTGCGGATCCGCTCCACCGAGGGAAGGCGCAAGGCCTTCTCCACCTGCGCCTCCCACCTGACGGCCGTCTCGGTGTTCTACGGGAGTACTTTGTTTATATATTTACACCCTACGGCCAGCTATTCATTGGACAGCAACATGGTGGCCTCCGTGTTCTACACCATGGTGATCCCCATGCTGAACCCCCTGATCTACAGCCTGAGGAACAAGGAAGTGAAGCAGGCTATGAGGAGAACCATCAGCAAGAGGATTGTTCTGTAAAACTCACTGCAGAAAGTTAGGCGCACCCCAAAACCTGATAAGACTATAGAGATACTTGATAATATGTCACTTGGTTGTGCCCAGTAGAACCCCACGAATCCATGGCTATCTGCTTTATATTCACAGGTGTTTACATCAGTGGAGATGGATGTGGATATCCTGTGGCTCGTTTTTGCGGTTACGGATGTGGATGCGGATACAAATTTTGTATCTAGAACTCTACAAATTTGGGGGTAATCTGCTTTATATATGCAGGCATCCACCTTCACAGATTACCCATGGCTCATTAGTGCAAATGAAGATGTGGGTACAAATTTTGTGTCCATGCAGGGCTCTATTGTGCGAAGAGCCAGAACTGAGCTTGAAACACAGAGGTGCAGATTTGTAGACAGGAGACGTGCGGGGGGGAGGGGGAGGGGAAGGGGAAGGGGAAGGGACAGGGACAGGGGGAGCTAATTAAGGAATTTCAACC